AGCGGCTCTCGCCCACCGCTCCTGACAGTGCTGCCAGCACCAGGGCCATGCATAGGGCCCAGCCCGCCATGGGCACCTGTGGAAAGTGGGGTCAGGGCCATCTGGACTTCTGGGCCCCCCATTGGAAACCCCACCCTGGACACTTGATTCCTCTACAAACTCACCCTCCCAGATACCTGGGGCCCTTATGAATCTTCTCTAAATGCATGGGGACCCCCCTGGACACCTGGGCCATCTCTGGATCCCACCTGGATGCCTGGGTCCCCTACAGAACCCCCCACAGACACACCTGGGTCCCTTACAGTTCTGCACTCCCCAGAAGCCTGAGTTGCCTATGCAACACCCCCCCCCAGACCCCTGGGTCCCCTATAGATCCACCCCCTGCCCCAACACCTGGATCCCCTACATATCCTTCCTACCCACTGGATGCTTCAGTTCCTTGCAGTCCCCTCCCGCAGACTCTCTGGTCCCCTACGCATCCCTCACCCGCACCTGTGTGTGTGCCTCAGTTTCCCTTATGGCCTCGGGGTCTCCGGGATCCCTCTCACTCCTCTGCACTTCTTTTATACTGGCCCCAGCTGGACCCAATGGGCAAGGATCCAGCAGGAGGGGCAGGGCAAAGAGCAAGGTCCAGCGGATGTGTGGGGGAAGCCAGACGTCCAGGAGGCCCCACTCCCCCTCGTGCCTCCCCCAAGGTCATTAGGTAGTCATTAACAAACCATGTGACTGGCTGCCCATGTCCCCTCAGGTGCTCCCTGCCCACGTCGCCTTGGACCAGGCATCCCGGCCTCAGCCACGTGTCCCATGGTGGGCAAGACACCTGGGTCCCCTGGGGTGCCAGGGCAAGATATGCAGTTCCCTAGTGGGGGGGCAAGATGTCAGCATCACCTCTGGGGCAGCTGACAAATGCCCCTGCCCCTTTGGATGATGTGGTGTGTTCATGGATGCCCCACATTGCTTCAGGAGCTATGTGTCCCTTCCCCCCATGCCCCCTTGCAGGCAAGTTCGTACCCCTGGGAAGTGCCACGATGTATTTTGCCCCACCGTTACCTCACATGCTCCTGGCTGCTCCACTGAGGCAGAGACAAGCAAAGAGCCAGGAGCCGGCCTGAGCCTATCAAAAATCCACCCCTTTCCCTCTACCTTCAGGGAGAACCTGATGGAGCCCCAAAAAGAGCGTGTCCCCTCCAGAAGGAGAGGCATACAGTGCCCAGGAGAGGCTGTCACCACCGTGTTCCAGTGGTCTCCATCCTCTTCAAAGACACAATAGACTGTTTGTGGAGATGAGACTCAAACATGAGACTGTGATGGAAGTTGCAAATGGAAGATGAGGAACAAAGTGGACAGAAGCCCTCAGCTGCCCTTCTGCTACATGGGCAATCAAGTTTGACGCCCATCAATGATTCAAGGAGGACAATGACACTGGATGGTGACACTCCAGAGTGGGCCTAAGCACTAGGGCCATGGGCTGCTGAGAGATGCACCCTTTGAGTGTGTGTCTCCATGAGACCTGACCTACTTGTCCCCAAGGATGACAGCACGGAGCTGTCTGTCCCAGGCCGACCATGTCCTTCAGCCTGGGGTAGGCTCAGTCCTGGGCACCACCTTCCATAAAAACACTGGAAAAGGTCTAAGACTGGCCACGATGAAGGTGGAGAGTGCCCTGCCCTGGGCTGTGGTGGCATCCCTATGGCTCTCTGGGCCTCTCAAGAAATCCTCCTTAAGTTCGCACAGCTCCTGCAGTGGGAACAGCTCAGGCACCTGGCCAAAGCCTCGCAGACATGGAAGATCCGCAGAGACCCCTTGCTGACTCTCCTGCTGGGCATGGAAGCAGGATGGGGGCTCTCATCACCATCCCCCAGACAGACTCTGCCTTCTGTCCTGGGGTGGGTGGGAAAGAGATGGTGTCCCCAGAAGAAGGAACAAGCCTGGCTGCCTGACAAGGGTCTGCATCAGCCCTGCATCCCAGCTCTGTCTCCAGCTGGCATGGTACAGGTACCTGCGCTCGAGCCTACCCAACCTGGAGACTGCTCAGGCATCCCTGCCAGAGGTTGCCGTGAGGTTCATTGGTGAACCAGAACCTGTGGTTGCCTCTTGTCCCAGAGGAGTCCTGACTGCCCGGCGCTGGCCTGTGCACCTCATCTCCCTCTCCCATCCCTGCCCACGCAGGTGGGCTGACGGGAGCCTCCTCCTGCCCCATGCACTCCCCTTGGCTGCTGTCCGGAGACTGCTCAGGCATCCCTGCCAGAGGTTGCCGTGAGGTTCATTGGTGAACCAGAACCTGTGGTTGCCTCTTGTCCCAGAGGAGTCCTGACTGCCCGGCGCTGGCCTGTGCACCTCATCTCCCTCTCCCATCCCTGCCCACGCAGGTGGGCTGACGGGAGCCTCCTCCTGCCCCATGCACTCCCCTTGGCTGCTGTCCTGCGGCAACCCGGGGTGACGGGGGTCCCTGCGCACCCACAGGGAGGCAGGCGGACGGTCGGGCTGTCATGGCCTGGCGGGGCTGTGCTGCGGGGGAGCGCAGGGGTGACGGGCTGCGTGTGCCTCGGGCTCCCTGTGCAGCACACGGGGCGTCAGAGTGAGAAGCTGCCGCCTGCCTGTGTGGGTTAGTGAGGGCAAGGCAGCGTGTCCTGCCCCAGGCAAGGCGGGCTCCGCACCCCTGTGCAGAAGGGAGAGGAGGAATCAGTTGAGGCACTTGGGGCAGCCCAGACCAGCAGCTTCTAGCTGGCCCCTCGGTGCCCCAGCTTCTTGATAGTGTGGGAAGGACTGGGTGGCCTGGCGCTGTCTGGAGAGGATGCCTGGGGCCTCTGCAGACACAGGGGCTTGACCTCCACTCTCTTTCTATCTCAACCCTTCAGCCCTTGGAGAATGACGACCATCGCTTGGTCTCTGCCCTGGCAACACAGACCATCCTCAGCCTGAGGCCTCCAGAGGAAAAGCTCCTGTCTAGGTTTAGCCTGAGAGCCATGTGCTACAGGCTGCACAGAACCTGCAGAAGGTGGCACCTGCCTTTTGGGCTGGTGCTCTATTTGAGCAGAGCCAGAGCAGCAAACCCCATCCCAGGGTGCTCTGCCCACTGTGGCCCCACACCTGCAGAAGCCTGATAGCCAGTGGCACCCCTGGCTGTCTGCAGGACAGCCACCATGCTCAGGCATCTCCCGCCCCCAGTGCCGTGCTGCCATTGAGCGCCTACGTGCTCAACGCGCAGCAGCACACTGTCTGTGCCGGGGGCCAAGCGCTTTGCTCGCTCCCTGGGGACCCAGGGGCGCACTGTAAGGCCCACAGAGGAGGTTGGGGTGCCCCAGAAAGGAGCTCTGAGGGCCATGGGGGTTGTGCGGTGCAGCGGTGGGGTGAGGCCAAGAGAGAGAGGCAGTGCAGGGCTCCTTCTCGACCTCAGGAAGAAAGGCGCAAAACAAATGGCTTAAGAAGAGAAAAGCTTTAATAAGGTAAAAGAAGGCTATAGATAGCGAGTAAACCTCAACGTCCCAAGTAAATAGTAAATAAATAGTACATAGATAGTAAACCTTATGTCACAGGCCTGTGCCTGCCCGGGTTGACTGTGATGTGGCTCACTGTCTGCTCAAAGTGCAGCGGTCTCAATGGTCAGGATCAACAGCCTTCACCCCTTGATCCACCTGCGGCTGACCTTTCCCAAAGACATTTTGTGTTACAGATGACCTTAGTAACAGAGGGGCTTCTTCAGCCTGAAGGATGGGGCCCAGTAGAGCTGGTGTGGCCTGTACAAGATCACTAACTCCCCAAATACAGTGTCTTCCACAAGGCTCCCAATACACAGGTTGCATCAAGAGGTGCAAGGAGGGTTCTGGAGCAGCCTGAAAGGCACACAGAGGCCACCGGGAAGCCCCAAGAAGTATGCGGAGGCCCCAGGGTCACCCCAAAAGACACAAGGAGGGGCCTGAGACACCATGAAAGGCCTAGAAATGCCAAAAGTGATACACTGGAAAGTATGCCAAGGCTGCCTCAGCAGAGAGGCCTCAGGGCCCACCAAAAGACCCCAAAAGTCCAAACCCATAAAGTCCTTGGGGAAGGGAACGGGACTGAAAGGCACAGAAAGACCAACATGGGAGCACAGAAAGGCACAGGGAGGTGGCAGGCGTGTACCAAAAGCCCACTATGATGCCCAGAAAGGTGCAAGGACAACCCTGAGGTGCTTATGAGACCCCAGCTAGGCCAGGACTCTCCTCCTACCTGGGCCTGCAAAGCCCCTGAGTGCCCTACAGTGCTGCTGGCCATGCCATGGCTGCCCTGCTGCCCCTGGGCACAGGGCTGAGGGCGAGCGTGGGTTGAGCAGGTGCCAGGCAACGCCCCTGCACTGGCACAGCTGCTCCTCACTGGGCATTTGGGAGCATGGCCCAAAGCACCTGGGGCTCAGGCCCACCCCCCCACCC